TTCCATCATGTATCCCTTACAGTGTGTGACAGAGCGGGTGTTCCGATATTCAATTTACACTACATAAACATTGTAACATTGTTTTTAAAATAGATCTTGGGGACTTATTACATGTTGTCAACTGAAAGTGGATATTCTCAGCTGAATTTGCTATAAATCCTTCCATACTACTCTTTGCTTGTGACGACAAAGTAACGCTTACTGTTGCAGGGTGAAGCATTACATGCTATACAATAATCACAGCGTTGAAGGTTATCATGTTAGCATCCAGGGGTTTCTTGTAAAAAAAAAAAAGGATGTTGGTTGCTGTTTACTGCTTAAGAAAACGACGGAATGGTTCATTATACATTAATATATCACAATGAATGGTATTTATGAATTCTGGCAAAGACCCATCAATCACGTTTCATGGGCCCAAATTCTATTTATACTATTTTCTGAAACAGGCTTATGTTTAATTCAAGACACTGTTACGTAAAACTGCACTGGTACAATGTGGTACAGGGGAAGTCACTGAATCTACCTGGGCTACTTTCCAGTTAACAGTACGAACGTCTTGAAATTGATTTTAATAATTAAAACGCTTTTGTAAGGAATCGGATGCACTTGTTCGCCTTACAAGCACCAGTTAAAAGTCTATTTATATATTGTTTTTAAAGTGAAGCATTTAATTACAATTCAACGCGGTGGACCTTCCCATAATCTACGTGACAGGTGTTAACATGGGCAATGTTTCCCTTCAACAAAATATCCACGTTTTTAAAGTGACACCTGGTGTTAACCGATAAAATATCGTTATCAGCATTACAATGGTCTCGATTCACCACTTTTTGACACAAGAAACTCATTTGTAAAAACATCATTCAGGGCCTAATAAACGATTGGTTAATACAGGAAAGTAAAGTGTTATAAATGGACAGTCATGATAGTGTTTTGTATAAAAATCTACTTGGAGGACCATTTTTCATTTTACCAACCGAAGTAGCTCCTCTTCTGTTCGTGGACAAAGTTCTGCCACCATTAAAAATGAAGTTAGTCGCGTTGGTGTTGCTGGTTGCCGTTGGAATGGCCTTTGCTGGTCTGCCCTACGAGGAACTCACACCAGACCTTGTAATAAATTCTCTAATGTACACTCCCCCTCTCTATTGGAAAGTGATGTTCGCTTTGGACAGCAGCGGCAGCATTGACAGCAATGAATGGACACAGTCCAAATTAGCGGCCCGGGTGAGATACACTGGCTTTGGTCTTTAACATGGCACTCGATCGGCACTGTGCACTTTCTGTCTAATTATCTTCTTTTAACGCCAAGGTTTAATTCAAAATAACCAAACCGAATTGAGATACGGTAGACATGTTAAACAGAATTTGTTATTCGACCTGATTACTTAAAAGTCTGTCTGCAAAATGATAAAAAGATCAAAGTGACATTGTTAAGACTAGACAACAACTCATTATTTTCCCAAATGAATCTTGTTTCAGGATATCCTTGCCATCATCAACTTCATACCACACCCATGGAGTATTTATCCTCAGGGACACACGATTGGTTTGGTACGATTCTCCTGCACGGATTGGACAAAGGTCATCTTCGCCCTTGGGGCCCACCCATACTACCCTGAAAATGATGCGGCTATTGAAAACGTGTCGAGAGAAGGTACGATCTACACGTTTGTCATATCAATGTACTATACTTTGGGCTTGTTATTGCCTTGGCCCCAGTCAAGGTTTTTTTTTGGCATCGTAGTATTTATGTCAAAGACATTTTATTGTCAATATAACTTTAGAAAAAATGAGAAGCCAACCCCACTACTACCCGGTGAGTATAACCGTTCCACTTTATTCGCAGGTTTTCTTACGAATATATTCAAGGCTCTGAAGTTGTGTGATGAAGAGCTTGGTGATAATGACAAGCGCCTAGTCTGGATGACCACTGATGGACACTATAGTAAAGGCTATAGTGACCCCAGACCTATGGCAACGGCTATGAAGAATAAAGGTATGTACTAACGCTACTTCAAGGACAGTTTGTCTATTACACGAACTGAATGATATCGTTTAACAGTAGAGCAGCGAGTAAGTTGCCACAACATAGACTTATTTTGTTCTTTATGTAATTTTTTATTGCGTATAATGTATACTTCTCTCTCACCATTTCAGGAATTACCATCTGTGTCATTGCTATTGGAGACAATGCCGACATGGATGTGATCAACGCCATCGCCTCGTCGATTACAATCATGAACTCCTCTGTCAACGCTATCTCTGTGAAATGTGTACTTAGTTACAGCACCTATGCCGACTACAGGTCTGCCACGTTAGCTGCGCGACAAGGGGTGGTACCACCGGAACACCCCTCCTTGGACTAGCCTGTTACCTTAATCTGCAGATAGGATGCGGAAGTACGAAGTGTATTTTCGAACATATTAGTATTGCATGCTATGAATTTGTTTTGTATGGACTTACTGATGCATTTCTGCACTGGACTAGAACATGTATACTACATACAGTGAAAATTAATCCTTTGCCAATGCTTATGTTACATAATATAATATATGTTTGTATAGTCCTCAGAAGTACAGCGTGGTCCATTTTACTTTCCATCTCAATTCGAAATACGTCATTTTTTATGGACCACCCTGTAACATACATGTATATCAACACGCAAATTGATGAAAAAAGATGAAGAATTATTGTGCTAATAATGTGATGTGATCTTCCTTTAGATTAAAATTATTATCTACTGTTACATTTCGTTCAATCAGTGTAAATAAACGATTCCAAATGCAATTTTACTGTACCTCTGTGCTCATTTATTTTCTGTTTCTCAATATATAAAAAAAGCATCTTGAACAATCTTGATATCGAAGTTACTTGTAGCTGTTCTTTGGCAATGCTCTAGTGTCCTTTTACTGTTGTAGTTCTCAACTTTATTAAAAATAGGGAACGTCCAGACGGACTGGACATTTCATCTGGAACCGATAGAGTATACCTCTAGGGCAAAGGAAGTTCTAACGGGAATGTGCGTATTTCTGCCAAGTCCTGTGGAACTTTTCTATATACCCTCCCCCCCCCCCCCACCCCAGAAAAAATAGGAATAAATAAATGAATAATAAAATGCAAAACCAAACGCTGGAATCTGTTTGTAGTACACACCTTTGTAGTCAGTCATGCCAATTTTCATTATAATATCTTAATCACTTGGTTAAAGGGACTATTTCTCACAGATATTTGGATCGATCTTTCTCCCTGGGGAGTCTCACTAAATTGCTATCAACTGAACCGGCTTAAATGTCTATCACGCTGAAACCGATCACAATTGCACACCAATTTACTATCATCCTTCACATGTTCAAAAAGGTTATAGTTTCAGGGCCCAACGGTGGTTGTTCCCACCCCCACCCCCCCCCCCATCCCCCCCACAAAAAAAAAAAAAAAAAAAAGGCTGTGCAACAAGACACTAACCAGACGAGGGCTGTGAGCAAGTGCGTTGTAGTGATGAAACCTGTTTTTACCACTTTTAGCCAACTCTTCCAAATGAAGTGATATAATAATTATGATTATAATACTTGCCCCAGGTGCTAAGTACAATTATCATATCACCGAGACTTCAAGGCCTCTGAGTTAGGTGTACTGTGAGGTGAAGCACGTACCACGGTGTCATGTACAGGCGGAGCTGATACATGTATGGTGTCACAATCAACAGTCGCCGGGACATGGATGTCCATTTCCATCATATACCCCTTACAGTTTGTGACACAGTGGAAGTTGCGATATTCAATATACACTTCATATACATTGTAACATAATTTTAAAATATATATCTTGATGACTTATTACATGTTTTCGACTGAAAGTGGATATTCGCAGCTGAATTTGCTACGAATCCTTTCATATGTACATGTGTTTATTCTTTGTATAAGACTTATAGACAAAATTTAAATAATACTCTGAGCTTTGGAAGACAAAGTAGGATTACTGTTACGCATTACGTGACGTACAATAATCACAGCGTTGAAGGTTATCATATGCACATCCAGGGGTTTCTTTAAAAAAAGGGATGATGGTTGCTGTTTACTGCTTAAGAAAACGACAGAGTGGTTCATTATTCATTAATATATCACAATAAATGGTATTTATGAATTCTAGCAAAAACCCATCAATCACGTTTCATGGGACCAAAATTCTATTTACACTATCTATTTTCAGCCACATGTTTGTTTAATTCATGACACTGTTACGTAATCGAGTGCTTACCTGAGTGTTTTGTTTGCATAGTAGGAAAAGTGATAAATTTATAGACATGATTGAAGAACCTGTTGTGAAGATTTCTCAATAACAACAACACAGAACTTGGTGATGTAGTATAATAATAACAATAATAATAATAATAATAATAATAATAATAAACTTTCGGTGGTCAATCACAAATTGTCACCATCATAAAAGGTGTAAAGCATATGTTGTTTGTTTATTTTATTATGTTCGGAATTAAAAACTCCCCAAAACTTGAAAACAGAATAATTCGTTGGTTTAATATTCTATCCATATCACAACGGTACAGTATGGCACAAAGGCAATCACTGAATCTATCTGGGCGTCTTTCCAGTTACCAGTGCGAACGTCTTAAAATTGATTAAAGCTTTTTTAAGGGGAAACAAGATGCACCAGGTTCGCCTAACAAGCACTAGTAAATAGTCTATTTAAATATTGTTTTTAAGGCGAAGTATTTAATTACAATTCAAATCGGAAGACTTTCCACTAATCTATGTGACAGGTGGTAACAGGAGCAATGTTTTCTTTACCAAAATATCCATGCCTTATAGGAACACCTGATATTTGCCTGGTAAAAAAATGTCGTCATCAGCATTACAATGGTCAGGAAGCCGGTCTTTTTGACAGAAGAATCCCACTTTTTAAAAACAACATCCAGGGCCTAATAAACGATTGGTCCATACACGGAAATAAAATGTAATAAATGGTAAGTCATCATCATGGTTTGTATAAATATCTGTTTGGACGTCCTTCTTTCATTTAAACGCCATTGGAAGCTTCTCTCCGACTGTCAGCTCGTGGACCAAATTCTTACCGTCTCTGAAGATGAAGTTAGCCGCGCTGGTGCTGCTGGTTGCTGTTGGAATGGCGCTCAATGAGCAAAACTCCGAGGCTCTCACACCAGACCAGATCATCAAAAGTATGATGGGCAGTCGTCCGTACTGGAAAGTGATGTATGCTTTGGACAGCAGCGGCAGCATTGACAGCACTGAATGGACACAGTCCAAATCAGCGGCCAGGGTGAGATACATTGGCTTGGGTCATTAACGTGACACTAGGCACTGTGAATTTCTTTCGTATCATTTTCTTTTAAAAGTAGGTATAATTATAACAAAAACGAATTAATATACAGTAAACGTGTTATACAGGAGATGTTTATTCAATCTGATTACTTATGATGTTGCAAATGATAAAAAGATCGAAGTGACAGTGTTAAGACTTAACAACAGCTATAATTTCAATTAAAAAAATTATGGAAACTGATATAAAACATTTGAAATATGTTCAAATTAATTATTTGTGCCAGGATATCCTTGCCATCATCAATTACATCCCTCATCCTAATAGTATTGTCCCTAGTGGACATAAGATTGGTCTGGTACGGTTCTCTAGCACAACACCGACAACGGTCATCTTCTCCCTGGGGACCTACCCGTACTACCCAGCCAATGATGCCGCTATTGCTGCCGTGCCTAAAGTTGGTAAGGTCGACACTGTCAAATCAATGTACCTCATCANAACACATGTACAAACAACTTCATCTACGTTTCGAAACATGCTAAATTGGGTAAAAAAGGATTAAAAAAATAACATAACATCTCAATCTACCTCATCATTTTTACAATAAAAATTCGATCTTTATTGATAAATATTAGCTAGGCCCATTCTAAATGATATCTTGTGATTTTACTTATGTTCAGTTCTCGTGAACAAGTTGCTCATCTTGTCCCTCCGTCACGCAAAAATTGTATCTGGAAATGTAATTTAATACAACGCATGATTTATGGGTAAACGCTTCATACCAGCTGCCGTCAGACAGAAAACAACGTTATACCACATATGTGTGTGTGTGTGTGTGTGTGTGTGTGTGTGTGTGTGTGTTGGCTGTACTGGTTCAAAAGGGACCTAAGACTGGGTTACCATACCTAGATCGATCCATTTAGATCGATCCATCTCCTAGGGATTTCTCGTTAAATTGCTTTCAGCTTAAGCGTCTTTGATGTCTGGTCAAATCCAGTAGTCTCTGCATACGATAAAATACTAAGTAATAATACTACACCACAAAAGCAAAGAAGTCCAGCTACCTGTACATGTAGGTCATTTTAAACATTTATTTTAAAATCAAACAGTCTTACATTTATAATGAACAAGTAAAAAATGGCGTTACTTTACAACTAATATCTGCTGTTACCAACTTGGAAACAGACTATAACAAGTTCAATAATTCAATTCAATAATTACCTACTGGTTATTCATTGACATAATTAGACAGAACAAAGAGTTTGCAATATTTATAAATATGAGAAGTCTTTCACGGTATGAGGACAACCCCCCCCCCCCCGGGGCAATATCTCCCCAGACAATTCACCTCCGGACAATCCCCCCCTCCAGACAATTCCGACCCGGACAAACCCCCCCCCCCCCAGGACAATCCCCCTCCCCCGGACGATTCCCCCCTCCGAAGAATATATATTTATATACAAATATAAAGTAAAGAGTACAAGGTTCAAATTTTTTTATCCATTTTCTGAATATTTCTTAGTGTGATGATACAACTCAGGTATCCCTTTGATTATTTGTCACTTTGAATTGCTTGACCGGATGGGGTCAAGCAATTCAAGCCTTCCCACTACCCACCACACTAAAAATATTCATAAAATATCTGTTTACCTGTTCATCTGTTTACCCCATCTTTACGTGAAGGATAGGTGGTTATACTTTGATTAGATATTTAATAAAACTTTCTGTATTTGTACTCAGTGAAAAAGGATTTTGCAATAGAATAATGATGAAGTTGTATTATCACTCTAAAATATTAAAATTTTTACTTTATATTTGGGGGGGACTTTCCGGGGTAGAATTGTCTGGGGGGAATAGTCGGGGGGGGGGGGGGGGAGAGAGAATTGTCCTAGAATCGCTTTTCACCATCCTTACACAAAACATAAAATTATTGTTACAGGTAACCAGCTAAACTGGAAAATATTAACTATAGGGAACTGTCTGAAAAGATGCAACGTTGATTTGCATATGGTTCGCAATATTTGATAAGCTACTATCGATATTATAAAGCTGTCTGTTCTGTGTATGTATAAACAAGAAGTTATAACTTCTTGGTATAAACATGTGGACCAGTACCATTAAGGCCTAATTTATGGACCTTACCTAAAAGTATAGTACACTTACAATATCAATAAAATGAAATTTGGCTTTCTGGTTAGTAAAATAATTGTAAACTTCTCCACTTTACACTTCACAAAGACCAAACCACACGACAATTATCAATCAGATTTGTGATGTACATGAAAGAATAAAAAGGAAACATCTCTTTATTACAACGACTAAGAGCTCAAACATTGTTTAACTTGATGATATATATTTTTAACTTGTACAAAACCACTGGTAAATATCTTGTTAACAGTGTGTTATCACTACTCAGAAGTCCAGTACGACTACGTAGCCCTTCGGACTACAGAACTGAAGACCAAAGCTACACACACTGGACAAAAGAAGTGTCACCCCTACTGAGCCAATACTATGGGGGAGATAAATGACTGTGGGCATTGCTCCTGGTATCATTTTATTAACATCAAATTTCACAAAAAATCACAAAATGAGAACAAAATATACATTCTACCAAAATATGCAGTTTCAAGTCCAAAATTAGTACTTAGTGGCATAGCCACGTGACCTAATAATAGGTGCCAGTCTACGAAGCAAGGATTCATTTAATTGTCTGATGCGTTCAGGGCTTATGCTGGCCCAAGCATGAAACACTGAATATAACAGAGTTTCTCTGCTGGTTAGACGGGCATTTGTAAAAAGTTTTGACATATCATTCCACACATTTTCTATTATGTTTGTATCCGGACTCTGGGCAGGCCACATCACCCTGCGAATGTCCTGTTGGTCAAACCAATCATCAACTGCTCTGGGCCTGTGACAAGGAGCATTGTCATCCTGGTGCACACATGGATAATTCCTGTCACCAAACATGTTAGTAATAGATGGTAGCAAGCCTGACTCCAAAACATCGATATATTTCTAGTGATTCATGTTTCCATTTACCACTATCAATTCGCCCAAGCCATGGATGCTGATGCAGCCCCACACCATGATGAATATGCTGCTCCGGGTTCGAAAATTCAGTGCATGTGGTACAAATGCTTTACCAGCAGTTTGCCAGCATAGTACCCGTCTGTCATCAGAGGTCAGACCAAAGCGACACTCATCAGAAAAAATATATAGGACCAATTGTCATGAACTGTCCAGTTCCAGATCCTGTTGACCCTAGTTTACTCTACGTTGCCTGTTTTGTAACGATATAAGAGGTTTCAGTCTTGCTACCCTGCTATACACTCTCTGAGCATGTAACCGACGCCTAGCAATTTCCACAGACACATTCTTGTGTGTGAAATTGTTCCACTGTGTTGTCAACTGACAAGCAGTGTCGAACTTTGACAACCTGGACATCAAAATCAGTCGTCGGTCTTCACGGCCAGTATTTTTTCTTGGACGACCCATCAGAGGCAATTTGTCTCTCGATCCAGTGTTTCTATACCGAGACCAGACCCTCTGCACGGTTCTGACTGAACAATTCAATTGTATCGATATTCTGACATTGCTCATATTCCGCATCTTCAGGTTAATAACTTGCACCTATAACCGTTAGTTAATTACCTGTATCTTGCCATACTGGAGGAAGACAGGAATAACTTTTGCTGTACATGTACAAGACCAACAATACAATTCCATGGTATAGCGGCTTTATTCTCATTAGTCACATTATAAGTAGACCAGGCATTATAAGTACCCAAGATCTGCCTACTTTCATTACTCTGAGTTAGGGGGTGACACTTCTTTTGTCCAGTGTGTGTAAATTCTTAATGTCAGACAACTGCCTCGTTTTGGCACACACACACACACACACACACACACACACACACACACACACAGGTCCGCCTAATACCTACTTAAAATAGAAAATAAATTAGTTTTTTTTTTAGTTTTCGAGGTCTTAACCTGTCTTAATTCATTATTCGTTTTGTCATCAATCAAATTTAATGGCTCATTCCCATAGACACCATCAGTCAACCAGTGGCAGATTTTGGGGAGGGGGTGTCAAGGGGGTCCTGACCCCTCCTTCGATATTTGAAAAAAAATCACACCAATGGTCCCCTCTTGAAGTTAGAATTTTGACTATCTGAATCATAGTGCGAAACCGTACCAAATGACACCGTTCGCCCTCTAAAATACCAAATTTTGCGAACCACACGCCAAGGGGGGTGGAGGGTGGGGGGCTTCGCATCGTCCCCCCCTCCCTTCAAATAATCCTTGATCCGCCTCGGTCTAGGTAGATTAGTAGGATAGACCTTACTTCACTTAGATGGTGGTAACTTCATTCATTAACAAGCCTACACCTGGCCTTGAGTAGAATACAAAAAAAAAAGCTGGTAATTATACGAGCACGCTGGAAACAAGAGGAGGCGAGTTATTCAGTTCAGCTGGTTGCACTCAGCGCGAGTCCTCACATAGTTGGATCGATCTACGTAGACCGATTAACGATGGTGTAAATGGGAATGAACTCTAACAGTCTTTTCTCCATTACGAGGAGTTGCTAAAAATTAGATACTTAAAACTCGTCATCAAAAATGGTTATTAGGTCAGATGTCGGTAAATGCCTTTAAGTTTGTTATACCCTATTGAATAATCCAAAAGTGTTGAAATTAGAAGAGGAATCAAAATTTCGCTATTAAGTTTAGGTGCAAAGCGTGCATTGTATGTCTTTCTCTCAGGCAAAGACAAAGAACACTAAAAGCAGGCAGAAGACGGTAAAGCCGTCACTTTGGACACCGCGCCCTCTGCTAACGTTGCTGCCATGGGACGTATCCAGTTTACGACTGTTGCAGTAGTTAGTAGTGCAGCACTGTCTGCAGACTCTTCTGGTCCCAGTTCCAGTGCAAGTATTGCCCTGGAGCTCCCGGCTGGTACAAAGTGACCGACGTCTGCACCCGCGGCTGTAGCTGTAGGCAATTGTGGACGAACCGAAATCGAGATCGAAATTGCGGTACGCCGAGGCCGTAGTCTGCAAAAATAAATAGATAAATGTATCTATAATAATAATAATAATAATAATAATAATAATAATAATAATAATAATAATAATATGCATTTATTGACCTTGGTTGAGGTCATCTCTTAGCTAGTTTCAACTAGATAAATTGACCGACAGACTTAATTGACTAAACGTTTTCGATAGTTTGTGAAACACATTTCTTTTACTTAGTATTACTTATATCAATTTTATTAGTGCAGGAAGTATTTCATGTTACCAAATAGTGTTAATAATTATTGGATATTGCTATTTGCAGTTCTTGTTACAAGTTAAGCAGACATAGCCCTAAATATATGTTGATTTTAATAACTTGTAAGATATTGATGGTGTGCGAATGCGTGTGTGTTTGTCCAGTGTGTGAATACGTGTGGATACTGGTTTGTGTGTGAGTGTGTGTGTGTGTTTGCGCGTGTGTGCACGAGCCCACGTGTGTACGTGAAAGAAGGAGAAAGAGTGACTCACATGGCAAACATATCCATTAGAACACGTGGTGTAAGAGCTGTAATACAAAATGTTTTGGGATGAACTACACGATGAGGTGTCTGAGCAAGAAAAACATCTGGGTCCAGTCTGAAATGAAATTATAAATATTCTATTGTCAAATTTGAAGTAACATCATTTACCAATATTTCGTCTGGTTATACTAGTACAGTCCGACTTCATCAGGATAGTCTAGAACTGTGCTATGCAGTTTTAACGTACTGGCTAATGAAGGATCAATTTATTTCTAAAGCTCTTGAGAAAACAAACTCTACCTTTCTACTATCATTATGAATATGCATGTTAATACGCTAAATTACTTTAATTCACAGAAAAAGCACCCAAAATAGGATAACTGCATGTATCCTGGCATGACCATCTTTGAAATTTTGCATAAAGGTGCCCCTAACAGTCTACAATAACTACTTGAGGAAAAATGAAGCAAACCATGATTTTATTTAAAGGTACATATGAACTGAGCATCGGTGGAGCGTGGATTCCCAGTAACATATATAAACCACTTCTACTAGTTGCTTATACGACTCAAATAAAATCGACATGCGAAAGGATAAACGAAAAATCACTCTATCAGCAATAAAAGAGCTTTAAAGATGCATATGGAATCAGTTTTTGGTCACAAAAACCAACCAAATGCCAGAATATAGTTTCAAGTAGTATAACTTAGAGAATTGCCAAAAGGCATGATTAAATGTTACCCGAAAATGATGTTTGAACAGAATTTCTGCTAGCATTCTATGCTAAATGTCAATGGGGTAGAAAAATAGGTCACGAAAGTAGGTTAAATTTTTGACCAAAAAATTTAAGAAAGGAGCAGCCAAAAGCTCTTTTATGGCTGATCGAGTGATTTTTTCAGTTTATCCCTTGGCATGTCCAATTTATTTGAGTAGTATAAGAAACTAGTAGAAGTGGTTTATATGAGTTACTGGGAATCCACGCTCCACTGTTGCTCGGTTCGAATGTACCTTTAAATAATGTTACTTACTGCAACGTTGGCTGATGCTGTTGTTGTGGTCGTGGTGGTGGTAATTGCAGTTGGGGGAATCACACCCGCTGGTTAAAAAAATAAACGATAAATTCGGCCAAGGTTATGGAAATACCAAATGTTTTATTTAAAAAAAAATTAAACTTGATGAAGAAATTCGCAATTCACTAGAACACTTATTGCGATAGATGTCTTCATACGCAGAAATATCAATTATAACTTAATATATTAGTTTTTTTTTTCAGGAAACTTCGTGTGTAATTACCCTTTCCATGCAATGCACAGAATAAAGGAACATCCCCTAATAAATAAAAATGGAATGGAAATTTTCGACACGGACAAACACAAAAACAAAACAAAAAAGTGTAAGTGGCAGACAGTCTCAGTTCGATTGACAGACAGACACTTACGTAAATATCCCTGGCAATAGACGCCAGCGTCAACATAACTGTTTAGGCCGCAGTAATAGGTATTATATGCCCCAACTCCACCGTGAGTGCAGTCCGTAAGGTTGGTCTCTGACCCCAGACATCCAAGATTGTTCAACCAAAAAGACCCGCTCCCCTTTGGTCTCCAAGCTATTTGAGTAAATATAGAGAAAATATATAAGAAATTGAGTTAATCGTTTCTGAAGATGCTAAGAATATTTTTCAGGCGGGACTTTTGACCCGGCGCCTGTATCAAATTTCATCTCATACTACTTATTTCCTAATTCAGACTTTCAAACAATAGAATTACCAAATATAATTATCTGATGTCGATTTTCTTTTAAAAATGTCAAGTGGAATCGGTGTTTTAAAGAATAATGATTCGATCAGATCTAAATTATCCAATTAGGCATATTACAAAACGTCGAATCCAAGTGAAGGGACAGGTCGAGCAATGATTAGTGAGGAAGTGAAATGGTGTTGTTATTTTTTTAAGGAAAAATAAATTTGTCTCGAAGATCCGATGTAGGACAGTTATTTAAGAAGCATAAGACCTTCTACTTTACCTGTTACGGCCCTTACATATCCGCTGTACCCCAACTGACGACACACAACCGCGGCGTCGTTGCTTCCCCATCCACTGTCACAGATACGCTTCCATACACCGGCAAACTTGATCTCTACGCGTCCGCTGTTGTAACCGTTACCATCCACCAGACGAAGTTGACCATCGCCAGCTAGAAAGGTTAGAATAACCAAAGATTTGATTGCAATACCCGTGTTACATGTAAAGGGAATTTCAACATCTTTATGAATTCTAAGGCAGTTACAAAACTATGTTAATAGAAACTTTCGATTTGACGTGACTGAATCCTTTTGGCTTTTTTTCTGTTACTCTATAACTCGGTTTAACAAGAGAAAATACCCCATTCCTTCACCCCCACCCTATTAAAGATAAAATAAAAAGGATGATGATGACAATTAATAAGAAATAAGAAATGAAACGAGACAACCCACGCAACTCTGTCCTCCTAGCCTGTATTTTACATACACTGTACTCTTGTATATTTCTCAAGCAAAGCGAGGCCAATAACCTTCCCCCTTTTCACCTTAGCAAAACCCTGGGCTAGCTATGTAATACTCACGCGCTTCACACGCGACGCCGGCGTCCACGACCGAGTTTTGCGAGCAGAACGATTTACTTGGATATCCTATCCATCCATGAGTGCAGGCATCAAGTCTGCTTTCTGTACCGGCACAGTTTAATTGGTCTGAAAGTTCATCATCCACAAAATAATAATAATAACTAAGTGACTGACTGACTTACTAAGTAAGTTAATTAAATAATAGATTAATAACTAAAGAGATTTTTAAATATCGCAATACACACGTACAACTTACATAAAACTATTTAGGCATTAAGAACATAGATTTTAAGTTTTAAATTGACAGTTTAATTAAAATACAAGTTTACAGCTTATTTTTATAGCTCATTACACATTACATAACAATAAAGAAGACAATTACATAACATAATTTCATTATAAAATATCATAATATCATGTGAATAAATTGTCTGCAATAATACTACATGCACGACCTGCGGCTGTATTCTCAAAAACCAAAAATACAAAAATTCGTGACCATTCACAAAAAAAGTTACAAGAAAAAGTTGCAAGAAAATATGACCCATCCCTAGATCGATCTAACAGGATCGGTCCATCTCCACGGGGTTTCTGGCTAAATCGCATTCAGATTAAGTGGCTTAGATGTTTGGGACGCCTACTAAAACTGCTAAACGATAGCGAATTACCCCCTATCACAGGCCTTCCCAACTACCAGACTCGGCACCGACGGGTCCAGAATAAACCGGTATATCTGACCACACTACCCGTTTTCAAGGTGTGTGTCAGATCGCATAAAAGAGTATCATACCCTATCACAAATTCTGTAAGCCTACCTGTCATCCGGGTATCGCGCCTCGTTTTCGTCAAGTAGGAGTCGCATGAATACAACAGACGACTCCCTCAATCAGGGGGTGGAAACGCGCTACTTATATGATTAAGACGAGCCTAGCCGTCAGTACCGGTTATTGTTTTGTGACCTTGAGGAGAAATTAGATTTGGTCGTTGCGGCACGCATCAACAGTAGTTGAACTACCACACCTGGGTCTTTTGTTTTTGACAACTGTTCACTCGTCATCGAGGCGCTTGTTCAAGACTACAGGCTGATATCTACTAGTACTATACCAGTGGCTTCATTAGTAACGTTCCCACAATACTTAAGTTTTCTGTCCGTGCGTACAAACCCTGAAAAAGGACAGCCTCGCTGACGAGAACAATGGACGTTTCTCACCCCTCTCTAGGATTACCCCTGCCCTCAATCTCGTCCATCCCGGTAGTCACGAAAATATTTAACCCCCGACAGAATATGCTTCTGCTATCAAAATTAGGTCTACTTTTCTAAATTAATATATAAGTTTACAAGTTCTTATTTACAAAACATCATTGGCTATGTCCGAACCTAAATTTTATGTTAAAAAGTGCGGTACTGTCAGATTTTAGCATGAACAGAGAAAATTGCAGCAGCGCATGAATCTAGATGAGATGCACTACTTTCCAACCCCGCTTAGGATCATTGCTATCACATCGCGCACCAGGCAAAATCGGTGTGGTGGCTGATACTCTGTAATGCGATCTGACACACACCTTGAAAACGGGTAGTGTGGTCTGATAAACCGGTTTATACTGGACCCGTAGGTGCCGAGTCTGGTAGTTGGGAAGGCCTGTATCAGCTTCAGTAGGCGTGACAGACCGCTCAAGTTAATTGCAATTAAGCAAGAATCCCCTTGGAGATAGTTCGATCTAAAGTTAGTACGATAAGGACTGGAAATGGTCTCTAGGTGAACAGACAGACGGACAGGTGGTGACAAAATGAGAGATAGAGAAACGCTCCAACAGACAAGCATCCAGAAGGACAGATGTTCAGCATAACATACATGCGCAGGGAGACAGACAGAATGACGGACTGACACACAGACAGACACAAAGGCAAACAGTAGGCCTACCTAGAACCACCCTAGACGTCCCCCTTGGCGTCCAATTTGTCCAGTAATTCAGCGCTCCACTGAAGCCAAGCTGCCTACAGGTCACTTTGGCGTCATTCAATGACCACCCGTTTTTACACACTCTGCCCCAGCCTCCTGCGTAGTATATTTCAACTCGACCGAAATATTGGGAGGGGCCGATCAATCTCACCTCTCCGTCATTGGCTGAAGGTAAAACAAATTGGAAAAAGGGTAGGAAAAATATTGAACAAAGCACTCATTTGAACTTTCTCACCTCTCCGTCATTGACTGAAGATAAAACAAATTGGAAAAAGAGTAGGAAAAATATTGAACAAAGCACTCATTTGAACTTTCCTTTTTGAACATTGTATGTAAAAAAATTGACAACCAGGATATTTGCATTTAGTCTATTTACAAAAAAAAAAAAAAAAAAAAAAAAAAAAAAAAAAAAAAAACAATAAGCCTCATAATGACTTACTAATAGAGCTATAGATAAAGATTACGTACATCAGTCCAATTCATGTAAAATAGAAGCAAAACAATACAGAAATGTACGCAGGAAATTAAGATGCGCCACTCCTTTCCCCCAAAACGCTCCCCCGCCCCCAAACCCCGTTGGTTCTTGTTCCACAAATGGCCATGTGTCTAGTTTATTGCCAACAGATTTACCTTACTGCTAATATTAAGTCAAACTTTTTTTGCTGGTTTACACGATACCCCCAAAATATTAGTGGGCAAGTCCAAGGTATCACGGCCGACAGCAAGATAATGTAGACATTTGTGAGATGGGAGGGACCGGTATGACAGGAATGGTAGTCCTAGAAATGGAAGGTCAGAGTCCAATATGATTTGTAGCCTACAGGTAAGGGTTAGTCACAGAGTATTGGGGTTAGTATATTGGACGAAAGTCACTGTACAAAGTAAGGCGGAACGTACTACGGTTCCCAGCGGACTACCATTCCTGTCACACCGATTCAACAGATGGAGATCTATCTACTCACGCCCTATACAGAGAACGCCGGCGTCATCTGACGAAGTCCGGGAACAATAAGTTGAGCTGACACGACCAACGCCGTCATGAGAGCAATCCGCCAGGGACGCCTCAGATCCATGACAATTCAAATTCTGTATCCAGTATCCACCTGGTGTTCGAGAAAAAAAACGTTACCTGTGGTCTCTTCCAACTGTTTTTATCATGTACAACCTATCGGAATAGCACAATTGTTCCCGCCATCAGTCGATCTTTGTGTGTACTGTTAAACAACGGTTTAAACACGAAGTCACCAATGAAGAATATAAACACAAAAATGAACTCTTAAGGACCGTGAGGCACTTGACCTCTACCGGTAGTCTAGACAGCTCACTATAATAAATAAATAAATAAATAAATAATCGACAAAATAAAGTACATTTAATAAAAATTCTTCAAGGATGCATATAGGCCGCATATTATACATTTTTTACAAAACCTGATATCTTTCAGTCCAAATATCAGTGTTTATTGCTTTAGAAACAAACAAGCAAGCAAACAAAAGGGTTTTATTCACATTTAAAACGTCCACGTAAGATATTCCATATAAAATTTGAATACTCACCTGTCCCCCGCGGTGACACATTAAATAATCGTGTATGGGCTCCGGTGAAACCAAGCTGTTTGCACGCAACATTGGCACTAGTCCAGTCCCAGCCGTACTCACAAACTCTCCCCCATCTCCCGGAATAGAAGATTTCCAAGCGGCCTTCGTACGCATTTGACGTGTTAATGAGACGCAGGGCACCGTCACCGTCTGAAAGATAAAAAAATTGTATCAAACAATCGCATGATCCCACGCTCATGAAGTGTCTATATGAAAATGTCATAAATTAATGTGTCAAATTTCTGCCGATATAACGGTGCACAATGTTTTTAAAAAGCAAAACCCGCCAAAAGAACTATTTTGAAAAGATAATTTTATTTATTAATGCCGCATATTATACCAACGTGAAACTACTTTGATAAACTCAATTGACCTTTTGCATGTATAGTTTTATGGTAGGTGTTCCCATATTGCCTTTCTTTCTTTCTGCATTGAGCGATGTGGGAGGAGGAGGGGGGGGGGAGTGAAGGAGATAATTGATGTTTATAATGGCTGCCTTATTGGGAATAATAGAAACTTAATTTTGTGAGTAACCGTATAACATCTGTGCTTGATTGCTGTTCTATGTTGACTTGATCACATCAGTGACTAAGGTTTAGGTGATGGGATAATTATTGAGGCTACTACAGTCAAGTACTATGTACGGAAACGGGTTCAAACAAAATTAGAAAATTCGATTCTAACTGGATCAGACTGAAAAATCATATTTAGAGATTCAGGCGCTTTGGCCACTCTTGACATGGAGACAGACAAGAAAATTTAACTCAAAACGAAGAAGATAACAACTTAGTAACTCGAAAACGGATAGAAAAGGGATAAATTTCTTTAACGCTTTGGATTGGGTATATTGCGGTGATGAAGTTTCGGCTGCTAAATTTTTAAGAAAAAAGTTATTTGCTTAATCTCTCACCTCCGTGGCATATTACTCCGGCGTCGTCGTAGTTGTCTTGTCTGCAATAAACTGAATTTACGATGCCAACTCTACCGTGAGTACACTGGGTTATATTGGATTCTGTTCCTCCACAGTTTAAGTTATAGATCCAATATTTACCTGAATTATAAAAGATGTGAATTACACACGAAACTGTTGGTGGAAACATAGGTCGTTTTCGCGTCATGCAGTACCAGTATACTAGTAATACCAAGCGTAGATTACATTTGGCATGAGCTCCAAACGATGAATTGACATCTTTTATATATATATATATATAAACCTAGATCATGATTGCCAAGCAATTTCCATACAGCGCTCTTAAAGTTATACTGCCAGAAAATCTCTTTCGTGCAGCGTCTGTGCGGAGGCAGGCGTAGGAGAAATCATATGGACGGTAACCCCAAAAATCCCCAAAATCGACCCGGGTTCCATATATTGATGATATAGACAGACTTGTGGCATTCACACTTACCGGTGCCTCTGGGGTTCCAGGAACGAAAATACGTATGAGCACCACTAAATCCAAGCTGCCTACAAACCACCTTGGCATCATTGAAGCCCCAGTTGTATTCACACACACGACCCCACTCTCCGGCATAGTACACCTCAACACGGCCTTCGTAGGGGCTAGTGGTGTTCACTAGGCGAACGGCACCATCGCCAGCTACGTAATAGAGAAGAAGCCTTGAAAATTGTTTTCCATATATCCAAGAAAAAGAAAATTTGAAGCAAATTTGAAGGAGGTATATGTTGATGTTTATAATGGCTACCGTTCTGGAGAAGAAGAGCGCGGCTCTTACTTTGGTGATCATTGAAAGTTAAACCTGTGTGGAATCGCGTCTAACAAGTACACCTGCACTTGTTGACTGGTCTATGCTGACTTTATCACATCTGTGACTCAGGTTTAGATGATGGGATAATTATTGAGCCTACTACAACAAACTACTCTGTAGAGAAACAGGTTCAATCAATATAAGAAAACCTGGATTCTAACTGGATCAGAGATTCAGGCGCTTTAGCCACTTTCAAAATGGAGACAGACAAAAAAATTTCACCCAAAACAGTGAAGATAACAACTTAAGAACTCGAAAAAGGGTAGAAAAGGGATAAATTTCTATGACGTTTTGGATTGGGTATATTGCAGTGACGAAATTTCAGTTGCTAAAATGTTGAGAAAAAAGTCACTTGCTTAATCTCTCACCTCCGTGGCATATTACTCCGGCGTCGTCGTAGCCGTTTTGTCTGCAATAACCTGAATGTACGAGGCCAACTCCAGCGTGAGTACACTGGGTTATATTGGATTCTGTTCCTCCACAGTTTAAATTATATATCCAATATTTACCTGAATTAGAAAAGCATGTGAATTACACACGAAACAGTTGGTGGAAACATAGGTCGTTTTCACGCCATGCAGTACCAGAACACTAGTAACACCAACCGTAGCATGAGCTCCAAACGATGACTTGACATCGTTTATATATATATATATATATATAAACCTAGATTATGATTGCCAAGCAATTTCTATACGGCGCTCTTAAAGTTATACTGCCAGAAAATCTCCTTCGTGCAGCGTCTGTGCGGAGGCAGGCGTAGGAGAAATCATACGGACGGTACTCCCAACCCTCCCCAAACCCCATCGACCCGGGTTCCAGTCCAGATATTGATGATATAGACAGCCTTGTGGCATTCACACTTACCGGTGCCTCTGGGGTTCCAGGAATGAAATGACGTATGAGCCCCACCAAATCCAAGCTGCCTACAAATCACATTGGCATCATTGAAATACCAGTTGTATTCACAAACACGTCCCCATTCCCCGGCATAGAATACCTCAACACGGCCTGCGTAGGGGCTAGTTGTGTTCACCAGGCGAACGGCACCATCGCCAGCTACGTGGAAGAGAAGTCTAATAAACAAAACCTTGAAAATTGTTTTTCACATATCAAAAAAAGTAAAAATAAAATAGTTCCTCTTATAGTGATTTATCTGAAATACATATTTGAAAAAAAAAATTAAATCTCACAGATATACATGTACATTATAAACATGGTTATAGTTTATTTTCCTTCAAAAGTTTACCACATACGTGCTTTACAGATGACCCCAGCATCGTCGTAGTGTCCGGTGCCGCAGTTATAGCTGATAGTGCCCCAACCTAGGGACGAACACTGAGCCAAGCGGTCCTCAGTACCGGCGCAGTTCAGATTAGACACCCAAAAGGGTCCAGTGCCTCGGGGTTTATAGTCGATATACGCTGTAGGTATATCAAAAAAGGATTTATACAACGAAGCTCCGTTTTAACATAGAAGTAGAGAAAGTTTAACAATCAATTTGATCACAAAATGGCATTTACAGATATTATAAATTAATTTCCCTTGTATATCAAAATACTAGCTGTAGCTCATTGTTTTTTAGCATCTTCCGACTGGAGCAATAGTTATTTTCCAACTACCGACGGAAGCAAAGACTAATTATGTATTTAAATATTGTTCTTCAGCAGCATATATCTTTCGAAGAAATAAAAAATAAACCATTTTAAATTATGTCATACTGACCAGTATGGGCGCCCTTGTAGCCAAGCTGTCTGCATGCGACTTTAGCGTCATTAAGTCCCCACCCCTCCTCACATACCCTCCGCCACTCCCCATTATGGTAGATCTCAACGCGGCCTTGGTATTGCGTGCCTCCGTCTTTAAGGCGAATGTCTCCGTCGGCTGTAATGAGAAACAGTATATAATAGCCTATTATTGTTATTCTTTTTTTAAATGTAAATTATGATTTTTTGCATACTTAATTTTGTTCTCGCATATTTCTTTCGGAGTTCTGGTCCATTTGATCAGGACTTTGCATAAATATGGACCTGTACACTGTAAAAACAGTGTTTAGCATTTAATACATACAACACACGTTAGGCACCTATACGCATTTAGAAATATGCGTAAAAGCTAAGCACGTATAACTTTTCAAGCGTCTCACAGAAGAAAAATCAAGACGCGTTGGCAGTGTTACGCGTTTAGCTATGTGTTTAGCTTCATCGCTTTATGTTTCTACAATAAGTCTATCGAAAGCTAAGCACATTGTCTAAGCACCTCCCCTGCTAAGCGCGTGAGGCTGCTAAACATATGGAGCTGCTATAGGTGTGGAATTCCTAAGCGCGTGGAGCTGCTGAACAACACGTTTAGCTTTTCAAGCTTGTCACAAAAAAAAAAAAAAAAAAAAAAAAAAAAAAATGCTTCACCGGTATACGATCCCATAACAAGTTTATTACAAGACTCAACAATTTGGCCTAACCCTTCCCCTTGTAAACGTATGGAGCTGTTGGAGGCGTGGAGCAGCCTGCTCGAACGCGTTGTGTCCTTCCTTGCAGTAACGTGTGATCATTTAAAATAGGCCTATTAAATAATAATCCAAATAACAAACTCACGACGTTACCAGCTGGTTACATGATGGTGATGGTATAGAATAACGTTATGGTAACGTTATGGGTGTTTTTAACTCCATGCAAAATGATGCCCCTGCGGTTTTATAAGCGTTTTATAACATTCTGGAAAAACATTATTTAATGTTTTGAAAACCTTTTTTATAAATAACCAAAACACATCTTGTGCTGTACTAAGATCTTATATATCCATTTATTAGATCTTAGAGCTGTATGAACTACATTTAGCGGTTAATTCCAAATTGAGCTTGGGGTAAGTAGGCGACTAGAGTGGTGAGATTTGTTAAATATTCGGACTATGGTTACCAAAATAACCAGCATGCGATGAAAGCTTAAATGAATCATTATAGTGAATACCCAACCATCATCCTGATGTTCTATTGTTCATTACTTCCGGAAAAAATATATAGATACCAATACTGTAACGCATTTAATCAAAATATGAAAAAAACTGTTTTAAAGTAAAAGTGATAGCTGTTTCTTGTCTTTAGTAAACTAGTGAATTTTCCTAACTTGACTTTCAGAAATATATTCAAATAAGCTTCCTCGCAAGATCAGCTACCACAAGGATGAATAAGTCCCGCTGTAAAGGTGATCGAGTGAAGTCAACGATGTTGACAGTTCACGGTACCCTGTTATACATGTATTATAGATATAGATAGCTATAACAGTTAAAGGTGACCGTGACTTCGAGTGTGTGTGAGTGTGTGCGTGTCCGAGCGCGTGTGTATGACTAAAACAGCTGAAACCCTTACCATCTAAAAGTTAAGCAAATACACCCTACATTTAATAGGCGTAAAAAGCGTCAAAGCGTGTAACATGTTAGGGAGCTTATCGTGCTTAGGGGCTAAACGCGTCGAAAAAATGAGACAAAACAGGCGCTTAGAAATGTGTTTAAGTGCTAAACACTGTTTTTACAGTGTATAATTGCGAGTTTGCAATTTCATTAAAAAATGTTGGACGTCCTATATGACAAAGTTCTCTCGAGTAAACCGGTCGTTTGCTACACAAATTTCGAAAATGAAAGACCGTTCTCAAGATATAAAAGAAATGGCGAAATACCAGCCAGCGAGAGAAGTAGCAAATACTTTACCCAATACAAGGGGCACAGATTGTTTTTTCGCTGGATATTCATAGATATGTCTCTGGCTAATTCATGACACAAATCTCTCCCACAACGGAAAAGTGCATTGGAGAAATGTGCACATGATTTATCTGCGGCCCTGGTAGAGGGTACAAAAGTAAAAGCTTCGGTAAACGGTATTTTCGGCGAGCGAGAGCGTCGTGAAATGAATTACTGGTCATTTAAAAGAAATGCTATCAAAAACTCATAACATCAGACCAACATATTTCAACTTTTTTTCAAAATTTAGATTTGTCTTTGAACATCTAACATTCATCACACAACACCGTAACATTTTTAGTCTTCGGAGTTTTATAATTTATTAACGACGCAATCCACGAGCCATGGAATAATTGTCAAAACGATTGTTATGATATCGATATTGACGAGGATTAAAGAAAACTCTGCAATGTCATCGATATTACTTTAGATTTGCCTTGACAAAGACTAAAATTGATTAGTCATGTTATGATTGTTGACAAAAGATTAATGATTGATAGAAAATAGCAATCGTAGTTTTTTAAACAATAGCAAAACTCCAATATTTCAGAGTGTAAACGAGCTACTTTCGTAAAGGAATGCGGCTACAATCGTTATAGTGGCCTCTACGGCATTGTTTGAAAACACTATTGATGTAACTTTGTATGTATTTCAAAACTGATTAATTTCTTTGCTCTATTAATTATTCAAAGATTGCATGAAATGTTTTTCAACAATAACAGTGACGATCTCAGCTCGTAGTATTGGTTTGAGCTACGGGCAATTGATTAAACAAACACTCCTTTTTAACAGGACTGATTTTCCGCATCAAAACGAAAGTGGTCGTGTGAAGCACTTTTCTCCAATTCCAAACACTATTTTCACTGAATGGTTTCCCAAAAATGTCTGAAGTTTTCCCCCAAAGGTAATTCTTTTAGACCTCGTAAAGAGAACTTCGCGATGTTTGTGTACGATTTTTATAGGATCGCCTGGTCTGCAATTGCAATATACGTATTCCCCAATTTCCCCAAATCCCTTCTTACGGAAATTATATTAAGATATACCAATAGAACAAATTCACTAATCCTACTTTTTGAAAAGTTTTGTTTCGCGTAATAAAATGTTACAGACGACCAGACCGGAGGATATTGTGTCAACCTTAGAATAGGAACAGTGAGGAACTGCCAAAATTTTGTGGAAAAGCTGGCATAGAATCTTAGAAATATTATCTTCAATCAACGGGTCTAAAACAATAGTCAAAAAGTTATGAATAAACACGAAATTAAAGTCTAATTTCCCAAACATAGTGGGGTGGGGGAAAATAAGCACATTTATATGTTCTCGTTGTTCACTGTGGGAGTCCGAGTCTCACTCACATGCCTAGTTTAACGCAAACTGTCCTTCTATTTAAAGATGGTCTGAAGGTACCCTAAACTTCTGAATTCCCTAAAATTGAGCTTAAAAACCGTTAACTTACATTGCCCTTGGACGCCCTCGGGTCCCTGTAAAGAGACCAAGAGAACGATCAGAACTGTGTTCAACCAGCGCATCTTCACCTAACCAAGGTAAATCATACCCTGGGCGAAAAAAAAAAAACAACAACTGCGCATGGCAATGTTAAAGAGGACGCCGTTTTGCGTTGGGTAGCAACAGCGATCGAAAACCAGGTCAGTCAGTAAGGACCTATTGGTTTTCCTCTCAAGGTGTTATCTGTATTGCATATATTATAATTTTACTGAAAAAAAAAAACACGTTGTCTGTACAAAACAGGGAGCGATTAAAAGCCCAAATCTGATCCGTTTTACGACGAATACTGTGAGATTGTCAACGAGACGATTTCAAACGTGCTCCGGGTGTAATACATGCTGGGCAATTTACTACAATAATTCAAAAACACATTTTATTTCTTTCTCAAATATTTTACAAGTGGTTAAATGTTTTACATAATCACATCGTCGTATCCACGAACCGTTTGTTATATTTTCAGTCCAGATTAAGAAAAAACATGGAACTCCACAGTTGTGTTTAGGTGTTTGTGTGAATAGTCAAATTTATATTAGGATAAAAGGCACAAAAATTACGTGAGGAACGTCGAAAAAAAATATGCATGCTATAAAACGAAGTGCAGATCCCACGGAAGAACCGTTTTCCAAGGCAAAAACAACACAAATTTCAAAACACTTGAAAAATCAACAGTGCGTGCCATTGATTTCATTTTAACATAACAACAAAGACTTTCTGTTAAAGATCAGTATATTTTCAGCTTTAATGGGCTGTATTAACACGTTAAGTTGATATCTACATGTATGAACTGTAACAGATATTATAATAAACTTTAACTACCAAGTACGAAACCCTCCGTTGGCACCAATAATGACTCGTCTTATTACAAAGTAGCAATAAGTCAACATTTCCCCTAATTATGTTAAAACATCTGAATATCAATTACTTACAAAAAGTGTTTTCCATCGCGTCTTTACATTATTGAAATAACCGTTCTGGTGGCATTTTCTTTCTCTCTTGTAAGATTTGTTCTCTCCAAACCTTCAACGATCAATGCCTGTTATTGGACCATCCCAGAGATTACCCCCCCCTCCCCCCCCCCGCCCCCCCCCCGTGGATTTTTCCCTCAATAATCCTCAAACAACAAAATAAATTAATAAACAAAAGCGACCGCCGCTTAGTTATTTTGGGATATATGAGTTGTTGAAGTGACACAGTTTAACTGTGAGAAAAGGAAGTTACGGAGGAGGGTAATGTGGTGGAATGGCCCTACTGTAGTGAGCAAATGTTCTGATCGGCATATGATGTCATCTCTTTTAAAACCAGAGCCCTGCTCTCTGTAATTATCTAAACTAATCCATTTCATACCCTACTCAGATATGATTGGTACTATTATACAAATACTACGGTAGTATGTACTTATAAACAGTTGTATGAACCCAACCTCCAATGGCTTGCGTAAATAGAAAGCACATTGGAGTAACGTCATAGGTGAATGAGATCCAGTCCACTTCACTGCCTTCATATCACAAAGTCTCACAACTGACAACTTCTTCCACAGTAACTTCTGGTTTCTACAGCAAAACAGAGACCAACTATCTCTTCAGAGAATTACATTCCATGATTTCAGTCAAACTGTCTTGTTCTCTGCTTTGGTAAGAAAAAATATTTCACCAAACAAAAATAAAATTGTGAAATAAATCAAAAACTTCTCTTTTAATGAAAAAAAAAATNTTTCCGTTGGAAGCTCTTCCACCAAGGCCCATTCTGGTTTTCCTCTCTGTAAACATAATTATCCATAGATTCTTCAAAAATATTACATATATATTGCTGCATTTAATTCAATTTATAGAATCTTACAAAATAATCAAATAAATTCAACAATGTTTAAATAAGTTAAAATTGCTCTGCATCTTAAATAAGTAGTACTTCCCATCAACAATGCAAATTTGACTCACTCTTTCTTGGACCTTTGTATATTTGGTTCTTAGTTTTTCTTTTCTTTGATACAGTTTGAAGAGGCACATAAGTCTCTGGAAAAAAATCAAAAGATATAATACAGCTATAAATATCAGTATTTATTTCTCTGTCACAGTAATAAAGAGGATGTAAAGATTGAGTCGCCATTACGATATTAATCAGGAGACCAACAGTTTTATTAGCAGGTATAATATATTCTTTGGACCCACAACAAATCTGATACATGTCCTGTGCCAGTGCCAGGCTCATCTTAGTCAACATCTACTATGTAATGTTAATAAGTACTGGACATAGGAATATCAGCCATTGTACATGGGCTGATACTGTACTCCACTCCACTGCACTGCACTGTACTGCACTGCACTGCGCTATCCTCATCTTGTATCATCTCATATGACACTTCACATCAGGTCACATCACAACACAACTCAACATATCACTACACATCACATCACAACATATTACAACACTTCACATCACATCACATCACATCACATATTAAATCATATCACTCACATCACAACACATCACATATCAACACAACATATCACAAGGCATTACATCAAATCACAACATATCACAACACAACTGAAAACTACTCATCACAACTTGAAACAAGATATCAAACACATATTAAATCACATCATTTCACAACACAATACATCACAACATATCACAATACATAACATCACAACCCAAGTTCCACAGTGAGCCACAACACATATCCCACCTTTAGTCTTGGGTCCCTCCAGGTGGTAGCCCACCATCTCACACCAGCCTACAGGATAGATATCTGGAGACTGGCAGTCTATCCACTGGTCATACTCCTTCTCCCAGCCATCAAAGTGGATCCTTAACAACCTGCCCACGATCTGAGTCACACTGGCCACACAGATCAACCTGGAGAATACACAGAACACAAAGCTAGATCTATGGGTGCCTTCACAATGAATCTATATTGTATTAGCTTGGTTCACACTAAGGGCCCATTCCCTATGAAACTATCATTTTACGTAGACTGATTCAATTTGGTTGGGACTTGTGCTGAATGCAATCAAATTAACAGATTTACATGCCTCCAGTTTATCATTTATGGAACTCTTATTATGAAAGTGCAATCTCAAGAACTTAAAACATCAAACCACAGTAACAGTGGTCCAGCAATATAGCTGATAAACAAATGGAAAAACTAAGCAAGAAATCTTCACTTAACTACAGTTGTCAGTATAGTGTACTAAAGGAGGGATTAACAAACCTTGGTTCCATAAGGTCAACTGCCTCCAACTTCATTCCAACCCGGTAACCATGCTTTGGAATCTCCTACAAGCCATAGAATAATAAAGTCTGAACATACAACAGAGCATGCCTCTGATTTTCAAGCCAAAACTAAGTTTCCTGAAGAAAACGGCTATTTTTCAAACTTAAAAATCATGGCTCAAATAGCCCCTGTACTTAAATTCGAAGAATTGTGCCATTTCTAATAATATAACTTTGAAACCAGCATAGTGTTCCTGCCATTTCAAAATTAAATATCAACATCAGGTATTTCAATGAGAGGATTTTTATCAGTTTTAAGTTCTCAACTGCGAAAGATAAACAGATTAGCAGGATATTTAAAGGTAACATAAAAGTATAATTATTTTTAATAAGGACATTTTCAAATGCTTAAAGTTTACCTCTTATTTTATTTTCTACCTGTCAGAAGTGTATTTTCTCTTCAAGCAAGCCATTTATAACCTTTAAACAATTGATAACCTATGAAAACATATAACCTATAAATAAAACCTACCTTATCAAACAGCCTTACAGGAGCAGCCCTTGACTTGGTTTGTTTAAGATAATCAAACCACTTGAATGGACCTTTATAACCTAAAAAAATATTCAAATAAAAAAATGTGAAAATACCTTATGTTCCCTATTACACTTCAACTGCAGTAAACTAAAATTTAGAAACATGAAAAATACAAGTTATGGGTCAGTTTTCCGGAAGCTTACTGTTATTTAATTCAAAATAATTTAGAACATGCTTGCTAAATATAGGTCAGTGAGACTTCGAAATATGATGGACCATACAAATAACCATCGTATGTCACAGAATTCAAGTCAGCTCAATCCACCTGGGCAGCACTGTGAAATGTTATCTTGGCCCTGTGACCTAGCACTTACAAAACGCCATTGTCTTCTACCCATCAAAGTTTACCCATTACCTTTGATCTTCTCCGACCTTGATGCATTTGAGCCAGTAATTTATCTCACAAAATCCCAAGGAAAATGTTTGAGGTAGTAGGTTCGTTTTGAAGCACAAACTAAATAACCTAAGACAAAGATAAACAGACTACACATTAAAAACATCAAATTCAATTAAACTGAGTGAATTGAGGCCCACAGATGTGCTCGAGATCCTTTCTGTTTTTACTCACCTCGTGGAGGGGTCAACTCAATGCTGTTAATCTCACAGAATCCCATAGGGAAGATGGAGGGCGAGGAGGCATGGTAACAGAACCAATCAGAACCATTGTGGGCCATGGACCCATCTATGCCTATCATCAGATAGTTGTTCTTTAGCACCTGGAGATAAACACAGAAGTCTGAGGTTCTTGCTTTCACAGGGACAAGAACAGAGAATGCTGACAAACTATTATTATTTATACCTAGAGAAGTTATGTGACTGTCATGAAATACACTTTATTCAGTTAAAGTGGCATTTTTAGATGAAATCTCTATTCTGCAACACCATCTGGTGAAGCAAGTTCTGGAATGGCTTCCTATGGGTGGAAATCTTATAAAAAAATCTGTTGAGACAGTAGGACCTTCACAGTGAGAGATGCCATCAAAACTCAACAGGAACCACACAATTTACTCCTGGAAAGATGATGTTACCTTCATAACAGAGGCTACACATATGGTGGACAAGTTGAGAGGATCTATAGCTTCCAGCTTCATGCCCGCTTCAAACCTTTGCCCATTTGGAATGTCCTTATGCTGAAACATAATGAACAGTCTGATGTACTGACTAGGTAACATGCATGAGGAGGCAGAAATGACCTGGGTAAAAATTATTCTGAAGAAAGTTTGAAGACATTGCTGTTTATTTGCATATGAAAATTATATCTTAACTGCGATCTTTAAAACATATGCCTTCATCTTTTTACGCTAATGATTCAAATATTTGAACTCTTTTTTATCACTTTAAATATCTGGTCCGGTATCTTTTTATTGCTTCCAAAAATCCAACTGCAATCAATCACTTATCTATGATTCCAGTGTAAAAGCAAGAAAGTTTGGAGAAGAAAGCCCACCTCTATAAACATATCAGGACTTGCATCCCCCTCTTCATATTCCCCAGTCCTGGCCTTCTCTGCGGCTTTTGATCTGTACTCTAAATGCAGAAGTAAATTTTTAATACACCAGAAAGAAATTTCATCATGGATGATATTTTAAAATATTAGTTTATTCAGAAAGACTTTGGTACCAGCAAAGCAATTCTCTCGACGAACATCTGCCATTTTTTTAAAATATGAATATTCTGTACCAATTTATCATGAACTTGGCAATAACTGGTTGAAACAAGATGTCATAGCACTACTTAAAGACTGTAATGACTATAACAGAGAGACCATAACAGGATTAAGCGGTCTTCCCAGCATATTTAGGTTGTGGCCTAGCTAGCACTCGGCTCTTCTCATCCTGAATGGCCTCATTGAGAGACCAGAGCCCAGTGTAAAAAGCGATGTCTTACCAGGTGTGGAGTGAAGTTTATGACCAGCTTGTGATGACCAGCCTACATAATGTATCAATGGAGATCTGTAGTGGCACCAGAAATCATCATTTTCATCCTGAAATAAATAACAGGGCATATCTTACTTTACTGGTATAAATGACCCTCAACAAATATACAAATATGGTGAAACCAGAAATCATAATTTTTATTCTAAAATATATAATATTTAGTGAAATGTCATCCAACTTCGCAAAATACATATCATAATCTCTAAGTAGGAAATACATATCTATTATAATATGTGTATAAAATACATATCTATTATAATTAAATATATATAATGGTGCCAATAAAGATACTTTACATTACAACAACACTTATAAAACATTAAACATTACAAACATTAACGCACTAAAAAACCAAATACAGAATCTCTACCTACCTTACTGTCCACATACTGAAGTCTTAGACGTCCCCCTATGATCTCGTCTACAGTCGCCACCCTCATGGCGGACACACACATTTTGTCCACGACTTCCAGTCTTGTGCCTGGTTTGAACTTATGGCTGCTCATGCTCTCTAGCACCTGTGGAGGTAAAAGAAATGCAGGCAGATTAGGTTAAATTTTAAACCTCCCTGTATAAGCAAAATCTCACTCATTTTTCTTTAACTCATAGAAAATTGACTTGCAGGTCATGAACTCACTACAAACACACCTTAGAGGAACAAGGAACACCCATCAATTCAAAAGACTTTGCACCACTATGTATAGTCTATTATGGGTAACAGACTTTATCAAACATTCTTCCTTTTACTTTAATACCAACTGCTGACTTCTGGTGTATAAACACAGCAAAAGAAAGAAAATTAATAATTATATAAGGTATTGTACTTATACTTCAACTTTAGTTTTAAATTACAGTTTCTAGCCTATGTAAAATAACCAAGTAAAAAAGCAGCACATATTCATGTACAGACCTTAGTGTAAAAATTATTGGGAAGTGTCCTGGCACCAGTCAGCCTCTTCACAAGGAATTCCTTCCAGTCCACATACTTGTACTGAATAGCTGCATATAATGAAGCACATTGCACTGTAGGGTGGCTTAATCATAACATGGGAAAACTTGATATGTGAATATAAAAATTTATATATCCAGACTAATGCTCAATTTTTCAAGTAATGATTACTTCTGTGGTGGTGGAAATGATTGTTGATTTTGTATCTAACATAAGCAATAAAAACATATTATATTTTGAACCTTCTGTAATCCAGTTGGCAAACAAAGACAGGCAAATATGTTAATGTCATATTATTTTGAAAAAAAAAAAAACCTATAGAAATGACTTGAAAGGGACAATTATCAATGGAATATAACTATTAGGTAGACCGCTTTTCAAAGTTTGCTACTACTGCTCAATAGGAATGTTATAATTTTCAGATTTTATGACTAATAAAAACACAGTATCTGTAAAATTCAAAATTTACCCCATTAAAAAGATTCAAAAATGGAGGATGGATCAACAAAGATAATTCAGAAGACTGTCAGAAAATATCTCTGGATCTGCCCCTGTGTAAGTACTCACTTTTAGGAGGCACCAATGGTTTCCCAATCGTGGCACACCAGCCCACTGGGTGTACGTCCTGTGTACACAGATTTAACCAGAAATCCTTGCTGCAATCAGCACCAAACCCTTCATATCTGATCAGTGCCTTGTAACCTGGGGAAATGTGTGTGTGACAAATGATATTGCAATGCTCAGAAGGATATGCTTTTGTTTAGTATAACAAATGTAATGTATTACGTGTAGACCATCTTTGGACAATAAGAAGGACCATGCCAAAATAATTGTAAAAAATCACCAATCTAACTTAAATTAAACATTTTAATGATTACAAGTTAGATTTAATGAAAGCAGTAAAGTTTAAATCAAATTAAACAAATGAGTTATGAAAAAAACTTAAGAAATATAATATTCCTTTAATGGTTAATTCAGCATTCTTGTCATTGTAAAAAATACACGAAGTAACCAAAATAAAATTGACATACATCAGCCAAATGACTAAAAATACTACAACTCGTTTTTTTTTCAAAGAACAAAGTATCACCCACCTGCTATTCTGATGACAGTAGCAATCCAGAAGACAGTACTGGGAAGATCTACATCAGAGTTAATCACTTCCACCTTCATCCCCACTATGATGTTGTCCCAGCTATCCGACATGGGAGCCTACAGGCAGGAGAGCAGAGACCATCAGAAAACTGCACATTTCACTGTGAACTGTTTAACTTAAATATTGCACAGCCATAAAGGATCACATTTAGCTTTCTATTGCTGTTAAAAATAAAGTGAAGTTTTTAAAAGACAAAAATCACTTGTATTCAACCGTTTACCCTTCCGCCAAAGTGAATCAACTTTTGAAAGTCAATGTACATGTCAGCCATGCTATTTCATTTGATCACTCACTCTGATAAAAATAAAAGTATGAACACTAGGAAATCACTATGAACAAAGACAAAAAATATGTACAACTGACAATTACATTATTCAAATCAGTTTAAAATGAGTCAAATAACATGATATTTGCAAATAATTGAGAAAAAAAATCTCTGTACTGACTTATTACATTATCAAAAACTTACATGTTTGAAATAACTAATAGAAGCTGCTTCAGCACAAGTTGTGTTTAAATAGTTACTCCAGTCAAAAGACTTTATGGCATCTGAAAAACAAAAGGGAGAATAGCAGCAACAATATTAATACAAATGGAAATTATTCATTTTACATGCTCCATACATCCCTTCACACAAATTGAACATACCATTTTAGCTACAATGGTCATCGCTATAATACACTCTCAGAAGGTAATGCAACTATCCCATTATTATTTTTTTTTCAAAAACAAAGCTTTTGCTTACTCTGTTTGTTGTAAGATGATGGAATGGTATTAATCTGAGGTTTAGGCTTGGGTGGTGTTTTCTTCTTGGAAGGAGTTTTCAACTGAAAACATTACAGAAATACTATTACCTTCATGGGTAATTTCTTAGAAATATCTGAGAATCACAAACCTGTTTCTCCTTATTAGAGGTTTCCAGTCTGAAGATAATATTACCATTGCTAATTACTAAAAAAAATTTATCTAGAAGCAATTTTTTGCTAAAAAATGTAAAATAAGAAATATCTCAAAATTGCATTTTGCATTATTTAAATAGCAGTGTTGCAAGGCAACTAAAAGTACTGGTCACTAACATTTAAATGTAAAACAGTACCACCCTTCCTTCAGCAGATGTTTTCCTGGATAACAATTGTGGAAAAAAAATGCTGAAAACAGGTAATATTTCAGAAAAAGGACTTTTGCCCTGCTATTGAAAAAAAAAAAAAAAAAACATGGTAGCATCACAGATTCATTCAAATAGACAAGTGAACTTACTGGACCCATCCTTCCCCCAGGCACATGTCCACCCCTGCGGTTAGACTGCGGCCCCTCTCTGAGAGCCGTGGCAAAACTCCTAGAACAAGCCAAGCTGCAGAATCTCTTGGTCTTGGAGTAAAAAGCATGTTTGATACCCACTGTGCCACAGCGCTCACAGGTTGCTAGAAGTTAGAAGTATAAAATAGTATCTTGTATGTGTAACCATTTTTTCTTAACTGAAGTAAATAATAACAATAATTTACTAAATTGGTTGAACAAGTTTAAAATCATTTCCTATTTCACATACTAGTATGTGCCTTCTTAGTATTACTGTTTGGCTTAAGATTAAATATCGAGACGGAGCCAGTTCATGGCATCTGCAATCAATTTGAAATAGCTACCAGCAATCAAACAAACTTCAAACTGATAATTAATAATTAAAAGTTCTTAACATGTGACAGACTTGTAGAATTGAGGTATGCTCACAACAAGGCAAGGAATCAAATAACTAAGCTTTTTCATTATACTTTTTCTATTTGGTTTTCTAAATAACATATTTCTCATAACGTAACATTTCCTAGTCATCCAGTTAGGCCGATGTCTTATAAAACAATTCTGCTGAGTCTACATGTATACACAACTTAAGCTTAACTAAAAGTAAATATCTACTTAAAACAACAACTTGTACCTAAAGTAATAACTTAAGTCAACTTACCCATGCCCTCTCTGCCTGAAGGATAAATGTACAAGTTACGTCCACTATTAATGAAGGACCCTCCATTCTCTTCACTGGTCACTTGCTGACCACTGCCAAAGTCTTCCTTACTCTCTGTATCAGAGAAGGTCATATTGCTCTCATTATAGCTGTCACTATACTCCTCATACATGTTGTAGTCCATTTCTTCATCCTCCTGAAATAAGAAAAACATTCAAACACTAGAATTTTATGTTTTCATGTATTCAGGTGGAATATATTATCATCTTTATCTGTGCAGGCATGGTCAACTTTAACTACTACCTTGCACCACATGGTCATCACCCAACCTGGGATTTTATTTATAAGCCTGACATGAAATTCTGTCTTTTTCATAGATGATTAGGGCCTGTAAAAAACTGGAAAATGCAAGTGGAGAATGTACACAGTTCTATATAAAGAGAAAGGTGGGGTGGGGGAGGTTTATGGGGTATAACTACGACACCCAAATGTCTGGGCCTTTGAAAAATCAAGACTTGAACTCTCTGTAATTTAAAAATAAACTTACCACCAGTCCTGTAGTATTGAAGGCCTCCTCACTTTTCACTGACAGTGATCCAAAGTTGGAGTCGTTATCAAAGTCTCCCAGCATGGTCTCGACCCCGTCCCCGCCAGACTTGATGTCATGTCCTCCCCAGTCTGAGGGCAGGCAATAACAAATTTCCATAACAATAAATACAGGGCTATATTCTTTAGTTGAACATAACCCAGCAAAATGTGAGTCAAATGCTAAATAAAGCGTCTTTTTTAAGTATGAACTCTTTGGGTTTTATCAAAAATACACTTTGGTCAGAGTTTTTTTTTTCACTGGCTCTAGTCAATTTGAAATGAACAAAAATATTGATTCCTTTTTATCTTTTTTAAGTGCCATACATTCAGGGTACAAAATACTGGAGCACTACTCACCTGCATCAGACTGCTCCTAGAATAAGAAAAATAAAGTTGGATTAAAGCAGATCAGGTTTCTTTCCCTTTGCAAAAATGACAAAAATAAAGTAGGTCCAGTATAAATGTCCCATGCCATCAACAACAATACTATCCAATATGTTGAAATTTTACTCTAATACAAAAAAGTGAGCAACATATGTGCAAGTCTGTGCCAAACAACTTTCTGGTCATTTTGTAAAACTTCTCCAAGCTGGCAGTGGACACGACCATATCTATTCTTGCTGTTAACTAGTGTTCTATAGAGAGTTAAAAACTAACATCTTCCACTAACACCATGGAAAATATGATTAATGATTTCAAATGACAAGCAAGTGCTTGTAACATTTAGAAGTAACACCAGGTGTGACACATCCGTCTCTAGCCATTGAACAACGCACATAATGTATTTTCATTGAAATATCACATAAAAACAAAACTTGTGTCATTTTTTTGCTGAATCCGATATTCAATTTGGTATGGTTAAAATAATGACAAAAACTGAACAGAAACATGTCGATCAGTAATCATTTAACAACTGCTGACATTCTTCATCTGACGATGTTTATTAAATTTCAAGTTAGTATTCAATTTTCATACAACTTAGAATTCCCAGCTTGTGGAAAAGGGGGGAGGAGTTCTTCGAATTTAATGGCTGAGATCTAGACGCCGTTTATATTATAAAGATTTTATCTACATTTAGAGAATGAGAAGGTCTACATTTTGGAGATATGAAATATCTAGAAATTAATAATAAAATCGGTATATAAAATTTTGACAATTTAATGAAGACGCCGTCAGACTGTGGACGTGACGGACTCCAGACACCGGTAAAATGACTGCTTTTTAATTCCTTATCTCCAAATAATGAAATTTAACCTGAAAGAATGCTACTCACCATCCCGCTCCAGTGGCTGCCACCACAAATCCTTTCAGAAAAACTAAAATTACGTAAAATAACGCCAAAATTTAACTAAACCACGAGCACCTGCTACACAATTTTATCAACAACAAAGCCCTGGACATACGCTTGTCAATCACTAGTGAAAGTGGAAGCATCAAGATCCATGATTGGGTACAACATAGCTCCGCCTATACAAAAAATGGAAACAGACGCGTTTTGATAAGCCAATCAACACAAGTTTTGCAAAGGCTAAACTCTGACCTCAAATGGCCTCCCAGGATGCAATGCGATTACCAAAGTGCGCATGCCCATACATTAAGATCAAAACTTCCGGGGAATAGCAGACCACGCATTTGAAGATGTAAGGGAACTTTTCGTAAAGATCACGTTTTATTCAGGCGGTGTCTCATTTAATTGTAACATAAACGTATTTAATGAAAACGTTATCTACAATTCATACCAAATAACAGCTGTATCTGCATCCCATGCTGGAGTTTATTTTATATTCAGCAATTATTTGAATTTGCATTGGTTGGTACAATTTACATGTATATTACGGTTATTGTATGTGCATCGCTAGGTTTTCTGGGTTTCTGTACGTCCATGATAATCATGAAGTATATGGTGGTTCCTTGATTTGATCCCCAAGTTGAGGAAGACTTTCTGTGATCATCATCTTATAAATGCTCGTGAAAAAAAAACATAAATTAAATAGTAGTTAATACTACTAATTAAATAGTAATAACACAAATCGTGGTTCCATTTTAATACTTGGTAAATGTATCTCAATTCTTATGCCATAATTTCAGGGCTGACTACTGGAAATCCAATCCCAGGAAGTTTTGTGAATACTGCAAATGTTGGATTGCTGATAATAAACCGGTAATAATCAGTTTTCTGTTTCATTAAAGTCAGACATGGATGGTAATGGGGTAATGGATTTCTGATTATGACATACAGGGTGAATTCTTCCCATCAAAGTAAAATACTTTTTGTGACTGTAAGCCATTATATGACTTAAATTGGCCATGTTTGAAATATGAGCATCAAACTTGAAGAGGAATTGAATTCATAATGATGATGATTACTTTTGGTGAAAACAGTGCTTTGAAGGGGGTTAGGTTGAAATTGGGAAAAAGGAGTATTTTGGTGCAATAATTTGTTCTCATGTCTTTGAATATCACAAGCTTTAAAATATTTTTTGCAATTTTTTGACAAAAAAGGTGAAACATAAATTGAATAGTTACTCTTTCAAACACATTGATAGGCATATACCAACTTTTCTTTTTATTTTCACAGAGTATAGATTTCCATGAAAAAGGAAAGCGACACAAAGAGAATGTGGAGAAAAAGATTGATGAGGTAACATCAATATTCATAACAATGTGATATTTAGTTGCTGCTGTTAGACTGTTTATTAATTTATAAGTAGTTTTCAATAAAAGTTGTTTTCACAGCTTCTACGGAGAGCCTGGTCTTTGCTGACAATTCCATTATTCTTATATGTTCCTAAATTATAGAGGAAATTAAATTATATGAGATGTATTCTTTTGATAAATATAATATTTTATATGCTTGAGACAGGTTGTATTGGCTATGTGAGGGATGTAATTATATTGTGAATTTTCCTTTTAGTTGCGTAAGAAGGGGGTTGCGGATGCCAAAAAGAAACAGTTTGAAGAAGATGCATTCAAGGAAATGGAATTGGTTTGTATTAAAAGTATTTTTAATATGGTGGTAACTGATGAAATAGTATTTAAATATGTAATAATGTGATCATGGAAATAATGTATGTATATTTGCTAATGATAGAAACTGCGAACTAGTAGTTCAAATTTTTAGGTTTTGTATATTTGGCCAAGTGTTCTTACAATAATTTTTATTTTGATCATTCATAAGCTTTCAGTTTTGAACATAGTGCTGATAACTTAATTATGAAATTCATTTTAATTCCAGGCTGCTTTGGAAGCATTTAAAAAAGATCTGATAGATAATCCTGACTTAGCAAAGCAGTATG